GTTCTCAATCACCTCATATGCATGTGAAAACTTGACAATGAGTAATGAAGACTGAAGAAGAATTGATGACTTTGAATTGTGGTGCTGGCAAAGAAGTCTGAAAATACCAGATACTGCCAGGAGAACAAACAAATCTGTCCAGGCCGAAGAACAATCAGAATCGCCAGACTTCATCTTACTTTGCTCATGTTGTCAGAAGGCACTGGTCTCTGGAGAAGAATATCATGATGGGTAAAGTAGAGCATCAGCGAAAAAAAAGGGAAACCCTCAATGAGACAGATTAACACAGTGGCTGCAAGGATGAGTTCAAGTCCAGCAAGGGTTGTGAGAATAGTGCAGGACCGATCTGTTGTACACAGGGTGACAATGAGTCAGCCGACTTAATGACACTTAACAAAAACAACAACAATTTTTTTTGCTATTCACACTAGATGGTCTGATGTTATCCCCACTGAATTCTTTAAACTCATGTGTTGGATTAATTTTATATTAGATCACAGTACACTACTTCATGAAGGATGCTTTGGTTATTTTCTCAGTGATATTTCAATCCTCATATAATATACCAATTCTTCTGTTCTTGGAATCTTATCTGTAATTAAACATCAACTAAGTTCAAAAGTAATTAGGTTTTTTTTTATTTCAACTCTATAAAGTATACAACAGGCACTCGGCAAGTACAGCTGCAGGAAAAATACAGAGCAAATCAAAGCAGATTAAGTTTATGAAAAAGTTTTTAATCTACATCAAAAGAGTGCAAGTGGTCAATGACCATTTGATGACAGTTGTTGCATCTGACTAACAAAGGACTCTTTCATGTAGAACAAATTGGAAGAGGACAATCAAATAACCATAGCCATAAGATACAAAAGAACTGACCAGTTGTAAAAACATCATACATTGAAATCAATTTGATAGATGATACTTAAAAGAAATGTACCTTTACTTGGAAAGCCCAAACCTCTGAGTCATTGTCACCATCTCAGAGCTCTGTCTTTGACACATGGGCAGGTAAAGAGGAGGGCTAACAACACACTTTCAATGTTTGACTTTCTAGTTCTGTTGAAAACTTGCTTCATAAATGATTTGCATATACAAGAATTCAGAGGAAGCATCCTGTTTTGTTGAGTGGTGCACCAAGGTACTTTTTCATCATTGGTTTCATAACGAGGTGTGGTTAGCAGTCATTTTCCAATTTTTCTTTTGGGTTCAATCACTACTAATGGATTCTACAAAATGAGAAATGTTAGAACTTGACTGCACTATTTTTTTTTTTAACTGAATCTGCACAGCTTAGCAAAACAGGAATACCTGTATACAGACTGGTAGTATGTCATATATTAATTTGACCTGCACATACATTTATACATTTCACAGAAATGACGCTGTATCTCATTAACAGATACACAGCTCTGGTACATTTAACAGAAATAAGAGAACAACTTCATCATTTCTGTAATTAATTCATCAATATTATATAATAAAGGCTTATAAATTGTTAGCAGAAAGAACTGTAAAACGCAGCAAGCTAAGAAAGGACAACATTTTGAGGTGTGTTTGTCTTGTCATGCAGCATAACACCAAATCGTTTTTTTAATAGGATGCCATGAATTTAAGGCACTTGCAACAATGCCAGATAGCCAGGTCATGTTCTAAACTAAGGGACAGATGAATAACAGTACAATTGACATAATTTTCAATAATACTGACAATAATGACATTAATTCAAGTCTACTTGGACCTAAAACATTATTCAATACAAATAAAATGAAATAATAATGCTGTGAAACACTAAAAAAAGTTATATGTACCACAAAATATCACACAAAAATATCTATTTACATAAATATTTGTCTGTGGTCCTATTGTGAACAAAAAATTGTTATGGATAATGCACACATCACCTCTGCTGTATGAAATAAATTCTAACGTCCTTGTTTTCCATATTGTAGCTGACTTCTTTAAATTTAAGTTCACCATCAGTTCAGTCATTTAGAAATGAAATAAGAATAATTCAATAGTTGAGTTTATGTATTATAATACATGTGTAATTCACATACATTTCCATAATTTGATGTAAAAAATTATCACTTGTAAAGAATAATCAAAATTAATTTGTTTAAATGCCACATAGGTCTGATATATATCTTAAGAAGAAAGAAGTTATAAACATAAAACTTATTTATAGAAATTTTCCAGAATTTTTTTTCTAATGTATTCAATCCATCTCAAGTATTATGACGCTCCTTTCCTTGGCAGTTGTCAATTTTCCTGTGAGTCAAGACACACAGAAAGCCCTTATTTCTCATACTCAAAGTATCAACAACAAGAAAGTCAGTTAACAAATCAAACAAGTTGGCACTCTTCTAACTTATCCAGATATTCTTTAACGTAATATGACAGGAGAAGCATGAAAAATTCAGAAATAAAGTGAGATGCACTTTAGGAAGCTGACCACGAATTTTAGCCCTAGTGTCTTCATTAAGACAAGATTTAAATCCTTAAAATTCAATGTCAAAGATTAGATGAATGTTTTCTGTTTTTGGTGATTGCTTTAGATGTCTTAATGCAATGCCATCTGTGAAATGAGCAAAGATGCAGTAACAAGTGGGAGAAACAACTTACAGTTACATTGTGCTGAATGCTACTTCTTCCTTCTCAAGAGAACTTGTACATATTGGTTGTCTTAGACTTGAACCATAATTCCAAAACTCACAAGTAAGGGATAATCTCTGGGGCTTTTGGAATAGTTGAAAAGTTGTAGGGACAGATTCTCTTATGTAATGACTAGGTAAGTTTAATATTCTAGCAAACCTCTACCATGCCTAAACCACACAATGGCTTTGCAGAAATTTCTGAACCCTGACCATAATGCTGGGAATATATTTTTAAAAGCCCAATTTAGAGAGACTATAAAGGTTCTTAATTAGCATTCAAATTTAGATTTTCAGCTGATATATTTAACTTTATAGTCTAAAATCTGTAGAAGAAAGTGATTATCTTGCAGGACAGATTAATTTTGAGAAATTTTAATAATGTAAGAGTAACAATAACATCTTAGAATCAAAGTTCTAATTTAATGTCATACTAATTATATATAGTATGCCCCAAGTATACTTTTGCCCTCAGTAATTTTATCCTACAAATGTTTCTTAGGGTTATATTTGATAAGACATCATATTCTAAAGTGATCGTGAATATAACAGATTAAAAAAAATTGTAATATATGCCTTCTTGGCTATGGTGTAATGATCTAGTTTGACTCTTTTTTTTTTTTTGCAGAAATGTCTATGTTTGGTTGATTTTAACTCTCTACTGTAAAACAGCAAACCTCTATTCAATACACCAAATTCATACGCAGTTCCAAAGGCGTATGACCCCTTGTAAGGCTACGTACTTGTCTATATAGCTTTGATACTACTTGTCCAGGAAAACCTCCAAATGGTCCTGTTCCTTATGACCACTAATAGTCAATCTGCCTGCCAAACGAAGGACCAATTTAAATTGCTGAAAAGCAAATCAGTTTGATGTTTTCAAATGTAGTCTTTTCAGGCTAGTATAAAATTTCAGGATTATGATCATTTTGTTCTTATTTAGCTAAAATTTATTGTTAAGAAAGCGGGTCCCTGATTTTTCCCTGTACTCCTTCCCTGCTCATGCACCCACATGGGCTCCTATTGGCTCCCTCACAAAAGGTAACAGCACCTGGCCAAGCTCTTGTCTTGTTCGCTGACCTCACATAAGTGAAGATCCTCATCTGGTAAATCTTAGTAACGAGGACTGTGTGCTTTCTTTATCTGATTTTATTTTTGGTTCAGGCCTAAGACAAGAAGCTACTCTAAACAGGTTTTTAATCACCTTCGTCTCTCAACGCTAGACTACATTGTATAAGTGAAATCTGACAGAAGTTCGGTTTAATAAATTTAGTGAAAATGATTCAGTCTCTGGCTACACATGTAATGATTAGAATTTGTGTTGTCTGTTCAGACACTGACATTTACAGATGAAAGATATACATAGCACCTATATTGTTTTTTATATTTTTATTTTTGGATGGATTTTAATCCTGCCCTCCACCTTTCCCCCCACCCACCAAGGGTTTATTTTTATAAAAGGGAATATTTTAAGCCTCACTTTGAGGGTATATTAGGTAATAAATAAAACCAATTGGCTGCTAGTCATTTATTTCCAGGACCATCCTTAAGCACAATATTTTAAGAAACATGAAATGATTTTGTTAATTCCTTTTTTGTTCCATTCTATCATGCCAATTTATCAAAAAGAAACAAATATCATGCATTTTTTTTCAATTCTCTGTGAAACACATATATACCTGCTATGAGAGTTCTCAGCAGAATCCATAGCAGTTGTGCTTTTTATCTTTTCAATTTTTAAAATCTGTCAGAAAGAAAAGGTAACATTCAGTCTCGTCATCAGCACTACTGGGAAATAAAACTGTGAAACTTCTAGGACTGGTTTGACATGAATCTGTGACCAACAGATATGTGGTCCTCTTTTGTACGCTATCTACACCGGCTTGTAGTAATAAATCCCACCACACTCATTTGAAGAAAGGGAAGAGCCCAGTTTCTGTACCAAGGTAATCCATCGTATGCAATGTATTATTCTTTGATCTTATTGAGAATTCTAGCAAGGTACAGACTCTTACTGGATTGAAGTGTTTCTTACAGTCTTTCAAATTATAATCAGAGCAAAGCAAGATCATTGCAACAATAGAAAACATCTCTTTACTGGTGAAAGGCTTTGCTTCAGGACCACCATGTCAACTGCTATTTGAGATTCAAACAGAAAACATGTAAAGAGCACTACTGTCATCTAAGCAATGAGTCCTAATGCCACTGTAGTTACTGGAGCAGCATCAATCAAAGGCATCATGGTGACCCCGAGCACGAATCTTCTCCCTTTCCCTCAGGTTTGCTGGCAGCTGTGTCTGAGAAAAAGCTGTCTTCAGCGAGGCAGAAGCAGGTAAGAGAAACACGTTAGAAGTCTATGTCCCACCCCGAGTTGTCATCAGGTGGTGGTTCGTCGTTGTCCTCAGGGAAACTGTCAAAATTGCTTGTGTCTGTAGGTGATGCAACCTGAAAGCAAGACAAGAATGAGCAGCAAAAGGTTTTCTTGCATCTGAAGTTTTAGAATACCAAGCTAAATAGAAAAACAAACAAACAAAACCTCCAACTCTTTTTTTGATTAAATCCCTATTCAATGATATTTTTTGAGTGTCTCCTATGTAGCAGGGATTGTGCTTTATATTAGGGGTAACAGGGGTGACTAAAAATAGACATGGTCTTTGTTCTTAGGGAGTTTATTTTATTCTAGGAATAAATGGTGTGATTAAAATCAGTAGTCACAAAAATCAATAAATAATTATAATCTTTGGTTAGTGCTGTGAAGGAAAAATAAAAGGTGTCATGGGAGTATATCAGAGTGATTAAGGAAAACCTCTTTGAGAAAGCATTGTTTCAAGCCCAAGAATTGATGAGTTCAAGACAGAGGTTATAGCACAAAGGGCCTGAGCTGGGACAGAGTTCAATGCTTTGAAATAACCAAGAGAGTTCAATCTGGCTGCTTTCTAAACTGGGAGGGGAGTGGAATTAGGTGAGGCTGTGAAATAGGCAGAGGCCAGGTTATATAGCACCTTGCAAGTCATGTAAAGGACTTCGTATTTTCATTCTAAGTATAATGAAAAGTCAATTACAAAGCCAACTAAAAGTCCTACAAATTTGCTAGCAGAGCATCAGTAAAAGTAATGAAGAAACATACTTTAGTTCTCTTCATATCCAATAATATTTAGAAACATTTACTTTGGAAAAAAAAATTTGCCATTGAATGTTACTAGTGCATTAAGAAAGACCCCTGAAATTTAGTTTAGGATAGCAGTTCTGCTTAGTTTAATATTTATCCCCTCAGTTTCTTACTCTACTCTTGTTCTAAAACAAAAATTCCTAGAGTATAGGGAAATGTAATGGGAAATACAATAATAGTGTTTTTGTTTTGCTTGTGAATGAATGTAAATAATAGCACAGAAGCAAATCTTAGAAGATGGGAAAATGTTTCTGTAAAAACAGAAATCTTGAGTTAATCCTAGAAAGAAAGGGGACGAATAAAATGAAAGACCCAGGACGAAAAGAGCAACCTTCTCCTTAATTAGGATGCAGCACAGGTTGTTAAATAGATGTGAATGAATGAAAATATAAATGCAATCAATTGAAATCTGTTTCAAGTTAAAACAATGTAAATACTTAGCTCACATAGCAGACTGGCTATTTAACACAAAACCTGATATATCAGAAAATATGCGTTAAATTTAAAAAAGAGAATCATGTTCTTTTAGAGACTGATGAAGGAATGAAATTGTGCCTAGAAGTGTTTCAAAATAATATGAGAAAGGAGAGAAGGAACTATGTGGGAAGCTTGTTCTTCCTGGTTCAGTCAAGGCTCATGAAGCAAAACTGGAACGGATCCACATTTGTTAAATTTGGTGGACCAAAACAATAACTGGAATGGGAAAAATTATGGTTGAATACCCTGCTAGACACTTAGTTTCCCTCCTAGAAAAGAAGGGCAGTGTGTGTGCTGCATAGTAACCAAACCTCTTGACCAGCAATTGGAACAGCACTGCCTGGCCCAAAGACAGCAGCCAACTACGTGGCTTTTAATGTGTGTTGCTCTCCACAGTCCTAGTGACAATCTCATCTCCCACCAGGCTCCTGAAAGAACTCACTGTGCGTCTTCTGAGTCTTCCAATCCAGGGCTTCAACCAGTAATTTGTCCTGTTCCGGTTATTTTTCCAGTACACTCACATTTTGAAAATTTAGGTCTGTTCTGATTTCACTGTGTCAGCCATGACTAAACTGATTTGAACTGGTTCAAAGCCCTGTCAATGAGACAGTATTTGCCAGGAATTGATAACTGCTGAAGCTAGATGCTGGAGATTCATCTTCCACCTACATCTGTATATGTTCAACCTTTTATATTATATCCATTTATCGTCTATCAGCGTGGGTAGGTTCCAAAGACCAAGTTGTTATGTGAAAATGTACATTAGTGTGAAAATAGATGATGACTACATCAGATCACAAAACACATCATTATACAAGTGACAATTTATATCATTACAGAACTAAAGCACTGAGAATCGTGGCCTAGACAAGTTGACACATAACCGTAACCATCACAGCCAGCATTACTCTTGCCTTGCACTTTGGTGTTCATTACTGCCAGATGTATGCTGTTGATGTGCAAAATAGGCAGATACATTTGTTTACTAGAGTTATAAATGTGAAAAGTTGTATAAAATGAGATAGTAAATAAGTAGGTGTATAAAAATTAACATTTATTTGTAAATAAGAAAAGCTTGTATTGAAATGAATAGTTAGCAAAGTTAAAGGTAAAATGTGTTAGAGCAACAATCTCTAGTTTATCTATCTTTGTGCTTGGATTTTAGCTGATATCATTACCTTAACATGGCACATCTATGGCTTATTTAATCTGATCATAGGGTAAGCCTTCAAAAATAACGTATCTTTGATGACACGAACCCCATCAAGTCTGTCATGGTTTTATAAATCAGAAAGTCTACTTACACTTGGTATTATAGGAGGTGTCAAGGTGCCTTTTCGTAAGCCTTCCCAATTAAAACCCTCAAACCATCTAGGAAAG